CACTGCGCGGTTTCTTTTATAAATGAATTGTTGGTTTTGATTTAACGGCTGTAAAACAGGAAATGTCCTGATCGTCGGTGTGAATCAGTCTCAGCTGTGTTACTGACTCCGGGGTAGGCTGCCGTATGTTCTGTTTGTCCTGCTTTAAAACACCCGCTGGGAGAAGACACTTTTATATTTAGCTGTTAGTTTTAAATAGACGGAGTTGGGGTCAGACACACGTTGTTGCTATGCTTCAAACAGGTTTTGCTGATGAACAATCAGATAAAAGGGATAATTGTCGTTTTTTTTTTTTAAGAATACTTGGTTACAGCAGTCTCTCAGTCCCTGACAGGTCAGACATCACAGGATTAATGTGTATCTGAACAGACTCTGGCTGTTTTAGTTTTTGTCTCCTCTTTCCTGCTCTGACATCATAAACTCTGTGATTACAGTCAATCAGATGGTGTTACAGCTGCGTAGCCAGCATGTGATTGATGTAGTCCAGCGTGCTGGCTGAAGGGTTGTTAGATTGTCCACCTCTTACACTAAGATTCAATGTTGGTGACGTGTGTGTTTCCTCTCACAGCTACAGGTACTGCAAGAACAAGCCGTACCCCAAGTCCCGCTTCTGCAGGGGTGTGCCTGGTACGTTCTCTCTCCATGTTTCCTGTTTCAGTCTGTAACACTTAAGTGGGACCATGTTCAGGTGACATCACGGTCACCCCTCTGGACCGAACTGTCACAGTGGGCTGCTGTGAGTCCTGCAGCTTATTAAGCCGACCAGTCTCGCTGCGGTGCGGTTCTGGTGTGCAAAGGCTGCAGACACTGACTCTTTGGTTGTGTATGTCCTCAGCTGGGAGGTGCTGAGTGCTTTAAGGGACCACTGAGACAAAATGCTGCTGTGTGGCTCATAATTACTTAGTTGGTCATCACTGTTTCCTTTTTAAAGCTGCTTTTCCATTGGCACCTACTCAGATCGGCTTTCCATTAGGTCATAGTAGTACCAGGTACTATAAAGGTACCTTTATAGTACCTGGTACCTTTATAGTACCTGCTTGGCCCGGGTTTCAAACGATCCGAGCAAGTACTAAAATGTGATGTCATCAGACTGCACGCCACTGATTGGCTGGTCAGTAGCATCACGAGAGCGTCTCGTTCCCCGAGTCTGACGACGTGCCACAGGCCGAGCAGCAGGTACCTTCTCCACGTCCACCTTTGTTGGAGTGTTTGTGTCACACATTTATTTGGGACGTGTTGCTATGACGACAGCCGGGCGTTAGGTGACTCCAGTCGATCCGAGTAGGCGCTGATGGAAAAGGCCATAAGTTGGTCTCGCTGATGCAGACGTGTGAGTTTCAGTGTTCTTATCCTTCCTCTTCTGTTCTCATCAGACCCCAAGATCAGGATCTTTGACCTGGGCAGGAAGAAGGCAAAGGTGGACGAGTTCCCCCTGTGCGGCCACATGGTCTCTGATGAGTACGAGCAGCTGTCATCAGAAGGTGAGGAGACCAGGAGCCACGACTAACACACCTGTTGGTAACGTGTGTGCTTCTTTGTAGGAGCACACTTTGGCCCATGAGTGCAGTTTACTGATAAAGACAGTGAGACGATGGCCTCTGTGGTTAAAAGACCAGGTTGCTTTAAATGTTTTGTTAGAGGTGTTACAGCTGAATGAGCCAGTCTCGTTTTCCAGTTTAGATCACTGGCTGTTCCCAGTGTTTGTTCGGGGGGGGGGGTTACTGATTACTACTGCGGGAAACTATTGTATAGCTGTGAGATGTTTGTAACCTAATGTAACAGCTTGTATATTAAATATAAAAACTATCCTAGTATACAGCACACACACTCTCTGCAAGCTTTAAAGCTGCCCCATAAAGACTCGTGTACATGAGGAATGAGCCAGTTAAACTGGGCCACAGCTGCTTACTGGCCCCAGGAACATTAAACTGGGCTCGTCACAGGTTCAGTGCATTAGGCAGATAGACTTGGTGCTAATGTGTGACTCGTCTGTGGAGGGTCTGCTGTATCACAGTGGCTAACAGGAGGAAGGCTGCTCAGCCACACCCTGAGCACTTTACTCAGTAAGGAAGCATGCACTGCTGCCTGCATGAGTACGTTACTGTTAGAGGATGCACTGAGCCTGGTAGCTGCAGTGTTAGGTCTTAAGGGAAAGTAAAGGTTCCAGGTTAGAACAGTGAAGTTTGTCTTGACTGCGTTCGAGTCCTGGGTTCAGAGAGACGTCAGAGCACAGCTCTCACTCGTGTGATGACCTCAGTAAGCTCCTCCTCCTCAGTTTGTCTGGCTCGTGTTAATGCTGCAGTCAGTCAGGGTTGTTGGCAAACACAAACAGCGGTGCCTCTAACTTCATGCATGTTGTGCTTCAACCCCTGTAGCTCTGGAAGCTGCCCGTATCTGTGCTAACAAGTACATGGTGAAGACCTGCGGTAAGGACGGTTTCCACATCCGCATGCGTCTGCACCCCTTCCACGTCATCCGCATCAACAAAATGTTGTCCTGTGCTGGAGCTGACAGGTGAGAGGCTGACTGACCCGTAGCCCTGCTGCACTGAGCGCAGTCTGGCTCATCCTGTAATCCTCTTGTTTTGTGTCGGGCAGGCTCCAGACTGGAATGCGTGGTGCTTTTGGTAAACCCCAGGGCACCGTGGCCCGCGTGCACATCGGTCAGGTGATCATGTCCGTGCGTACCAAGGCCCAAAACAAGGAGCACGTGGTGGAGGCTCTGCGCAGAGCCAAGTTCAAGTTCCCTGGTCGTCAGAAGGTAAACGCTCCCAAAGCTCCTGCTGTAATAAATGTAAAGTGACGTGAGTCCTCTGCAGCTTATTAAGCCGACCGGTCTCGCTGCGGTGCGGTTCTGGTGTGCAAAGGCTGCAGACACTGACTCTTTGGTTGTGTATGTCCTCAGCTGGGAGGTGCTGAGTACTTTAAGGGACCACTGAGACAAAATGTGTCTTCATCAGGGGCTTAGTGTAAGTAAGTGTACTGAAAGGCTGAACCCATGTCTGTGCTCTCGCCCTCAGATCCACATTTCCAAGAAGTACGGCTTCACCAAGTTCAACGCCTGTGACTTTGATGACATGATGGCCGAGAAGCGTCTGATTCCTGATGGCTGTGGGGTTAAATACATCCCCAACAGAGGCCCTCTGGCCCGCTGGAGAGCCCTGCACGCAGTCTGAGGCTGCTCTCTGTGCCCACATAATCAATAAAGATGGCTTTGATTACAAAAGTGATGAGGTCGTGGCTTTGTCTTCATTGAACATGAAATCGCACAACAAGTCTGGGGGAGGTTTTCTAATGTGGTGTCCAGTTGCACTTGAGACTGGACACATCAATTTTACCACAGGTGTTAGGAGTTATACTGAAGTGTGAGCAGTGTGTGAGATCTGTGAGGATCGTTACAGATCCAAACCTCTAACTGCATACAGTCCCACACTAACAGCTGATTGTCTCCTTTATGGGGCTGAAAGTTGTATTCAGCCTTTAATTCTGTTAATTTACAGCTGAGGAAACACTGAACACGCTTTGGACTGTAAAGGTAACACGCTGAAAGCCTCGTCTGTCTTCTCTCTGTGCTGTCCCACAAATGACATGAACAGGTATCCACATTCATTGATACTGAACACAGGTAGATGTTACCTTCTGACAGGTAACAGTCACATGGAGCTGCAGCTGTACTGTAAACACCAGTTTAACCAAAATAAGAATAATAATAAGAAGAAAGTTGTAACATTAAAGAACAGCGGCTCAGTAGGATGGGTGCTATGCAGTGACCAGACCTGTGACGTGTCCATGCGCTCAGCTCAGTTTGACTTGTTGCTGCGTTTCAGGTTAAGAGCTTTAAATGAACTTGCGTCTGTGTTCTTATTGATGAGCTGCTGGAGCATCGGGAACAGCGGGCAGCTAATCAGGATAGCAAATCAGGATTAGAAGATGCTCAAACACATTTTTGCTGCCATCGCTGTGGTTAATTTAGGGATATGTCCAGTAGGTGGAGCTACTGTTTCTGTTTTTAAGGAGACCAAATTAAGGTCCTGGTTCAGCGTCTGCGGCTCCCACCATAGCACCAGCTGTACTGCTGTATGTAGTTCAGTGCTCACTGTTGCGCTTCTCGTGGGACATTTCTGTGAAAAACAGTTTTTACAGCACGTTTGGAGTCCGTAACGTTTGTTTTCATCCATCTGTTTGCCAGCTGTGTGTGCCTGCTTCATTCAGGCCGACCTGTCCGCTGGAGACCGGAGCTCTTTGACTAAACGTGTGTTTTTAAGGACCACTGATGTGAAACTGGTTCGTTCATCTGTTTCCGTTGCCGTGCATACACCACCATGCTGAAATAAATACAGAATAAGCACCGTGTAACGTTTTAATAACGTGTGCATGCATGTCGAGGACCTACAGCAGCCTGTAATCTCCTCCATGCTCCTGAAGGTGGCAGTGACATTACTGAGGAGCTCGCCTACCTGTGCGACCTGTGGAGGCCCCAGGTGTCATCCCAGATTCCCAGCAGGACACTGATCCGAGTTAGAAACGCTGAGGAGTGAACCACGTCAGGTGCCTCCACCTGTAAAGCTGTTCCTGTTTCAGGTTCCTCAGTGTTGCCCCCTGCTGTTAGTTTAACAGCCCTTTCTGCTAACTGACCAGATCAATATCTCTGAAGTGTAATTGACACGCTCCTAAGCTCTGATGAAAAAGTCTTCTTTGAATGTTTTGGAGCAGTGTACACGTCTTTAACCTGCAGGCTGTCTTAAACTTCCCACACCTGATCTGTTCATTTGTGGACTGTTTCACTTGCCTTTTGCTTCCTCACGGTAAATACTTAAGTCATATATGTGTAACCAGACAGGTTTGTGGTTTTTTACTTTGAAGTATTCAAATGTTAATGTCTGCAGTGATTTTCCTGATAAAGACTTGATCTCTGACAAACAGAAGAAAGTTTCTCACAGCAGCAGATCTCCTGCTGCTTCCTCCTTGTAGTCCCACCTACAGGAAACAGAGTGGCGGGGGTAGCTTTGAGTTTCAGTCGAGAGACGGGAGTAAGAAGCGAACACACCCTACAAGTCCAAGAAGTCCCAGAGCTGGTAAGCTGTAGTTTGACGACCCACAGAAGGAGCGAGCGAAGGAAAAGCCGTCTCAGTGGAGCGTGTGACCTGTAATCTGCTGCTGTGTGTTTATGACTACAGAGCTGCACTCTCCTACACGCTCAGCTTTGTGTCTGGGTTCAAGACCTGACAGCTGGAGCTCACATTACAGCAGCTGGTACAGCCTGCTACACACACGCTGTAGTTTCATGTGTTGTGCTGAAAGTAGAAGTGTAACAGCTTTAGAGCTAACAGAGCTGAACTAGAGTCAGTTCTCCATGTTTCCCATGACGACAGGATCATTCCTGCAATGGTCACTGCTCCGTGTTTTCTGTTTGATTTTAGGATTTTATCGTCTTGTTTTCTGAAGTTTTGCTTCTTGTTTTCCACGTTCGTTTCAGATGTGTGCCGTGGGTTTTCCATGATTGTTTCCATGTGTGTCCTGTTTCATACTGACTGGACTGTTATGTTTGTTTGTTTTCCTTCATATTTCGGATATTTGGGTTTCTGGACATTGTTCTCCAGGCCCTGAGGAAATGATGTGGTTACAGTCGCTGCAGGACACTAAGAGCAGTGACAGACTGAAGTAACTGAACACCGTGGTCTTCCTGTCAGGGACTCATCAGTCCACAGATGTTTGCCCTCTTGATGTGATTGCACTCATTAATGCAAAACATCTGTGGCTGAGGGGGGACCTTGGACAGACCTGGACTAGTTTGGTTTCCTGAAGACGTGTCAGCTCTCATCTTCAGCTCTAAGAACCCGAGTGGATTTGTCCCTTAAGAGGACCCACTACTGATCATGTGCATCATCTCGTGAGCCAAAGTGTGAATGTGTGGGTCATCATCAGCAGGGGTTTCGGGTGAAACCATCGTGACCAACAGACTGAAAGCTAACTGGCTATGTTATTTTGTCTGAAAGTAAATATGAGTGGACTTTATTAATGAACACACTATTAGTTATTTATGTGAGAACATTTTTAAGGAGCTGAAATGGTAACAAATTTAAGAAACACAGACAGAGGACACAGAACAAACATCATCTCTGTGGGCAACAAGTGTTTACATGTGGACAGGTTTTATACATACACACGATTTAACTCAGTTTGACCCTTTTTATACTAGTGGGTTTTAAAAAGATAATGATGCAGGGCAATACGGTGGTGCCGGGGTTAGCACTGTTGCCTCACCAGCAGAAGGCCCTGGGTGGCAGTCCATCATCTGACCGAGGTTGCTATATGTTCTAGCTGTGCCTTCCTGGGTTCCCTCTGCTCCCTCAGTCCAAAGACATGCAGCTTTAGCTTAACTGGAGACTGTAAATTGCCCATAGAACGGGTAAATGTGAGCCTTTGCATTGGCCCTGTGACAGGGTAGTGACGTGTTCAGGATGGACCCCCCCTCCCAAGTCACCTGACCTTAGATAAGGGGAAGAACAAATATGTGGTTCATGTCTAAGATTTATGCTAAAGCTATCATTGGTCGTCAGGAGGAATTGGAGAAGTGAATAATTTTAACTTCACAAGAAACAGGAAGTTTCACTGCTGAGTCAAACCACAAGAAACAACAGCCATTAGATTTGTGCTGGTTTGCTGTTTACTTCTTTTTATCAATTAAAATCATTCAAATTAAAAACCTTTATTAGTTATACAACCCCAGCTCCAAAAATGTTGTTCCCAAATCAAACATGGAAAACACAGAGATGGTGAAACACCATTAGAGGAAAATATTCTGGATTTGATGGCAGCAACAAACTCCCGTCTTCTTTGCACCATCAGAGATGCAGTGGTCTGTCTCATCTTTAGTCCATGTCTCAGTTATGTTGACATCAAAGCTTCCATAAAAAGTTTTGTTTTTTTTTAACACCAAACAAAACTGAATTTGTCCCGTAGCAGCCCTCAGCTCATGTGTTTCATCATGTTTCTCGATGGGGACTGTGCTTCCTTCCAGCTGTGGGCTATGAGTCTGTCTCTCCTCCTGCTGCTCGCCGTCCTCGTGGAGGTGACTGATACCAAAGCTGGTTCAGATTTTAGGATCTGTGCCTTCAACACACAACACTTTGGTGAATCCAAGTCGAAGAAGAGTGACGTTATGGGGACTCTTGCCAGGGTAAGGTAAAAAGAAAGACTGGGTAAGAGTGCTTGTGTTCTTGTATTTGGCTCAAACAGCTGAGGGACAGTGTCGTGGTTCTTTAGTGGACGATAGTCACTACATGGCTGTAGCTAGTGGGGACACTAATAAACTGACAGAATTACTCAGTGAATCAGTAAAAATGATTTGTTTAGAGAAACTTGTTTCCTGTTTGAAAATTTGTTCACCACATTGTGAAATTAACCAAAGCAACCAAACAAAGGCTATGAAGACACTTCTATGCATTATCATTTAGCACCACAAGGTGGCGCAGAGTCAATGCCAACGCGTTCCTTATTACATCAGTCGGAATGAACACGTTCTAATTTAGCGCAGTGGTCTGGGAAAAGGACCAAAAAGAACAAATATAACAAATATTTTTAGGGATGCAGGACATTTTTATTTTATTGCAGGTGACCAGCGGGACGAATAATGAGTGGCTCCTCTGTGTGTCCCACTCCCACTCGCCTTTTCATGGCTGTGCTGTGTCTCCATTTCAGATCATCACACGCTGTGATGTGTGTTTGCTCCAGGAAGTGAGAGACAGTGGAGGAAAAGCTTTACCACTGCTGCTCGACTCCCTAAAACGGTGATTATTCATT